AGAAGAATACCAACCTATATCTGTGGGTAGATCCAGATAATCTCCAGTTATCTCTTCCAATAGCCAAATTATGGTTTTATCAATGTTAGTCGTGTCCCTGCCAATGCAATTACCATGCCTCATTGGCCTGTTACATCTCTTTGTGATTTTACTGCTGCCGAATTTTCCTGGCCCGAAAGGGTCAGGGTCTCCATCTGCAAAATGGTGTAACCCAAGCAAACCTGCTCCCTGCTGCAGCAAAGCTCATTGTTGTGATCCATAATCATCCCTAATCCCTGTGGTTGATTCTCCTGATTACATGTCAGAACTGGAGTGCAATCTATTTAAAAGGAGCAGTTTTCAAATCAGTGGCACGTCCTTTCATTAGTTAAGGTATGCGGGTTTGACACAAAAGGTGTCTCTGAAATGTCTCTGGACTGCAGCATAGCAAGACAGCATGTGCCTGTGAGGATAACACTTGACTCAGATTGGGCTGTTTGCCCCATTTTCTAGCTTTTTGGCTGCTGTACAGATAATTGGACCCCTCCAGAGCAGAGGAAGTCTGGCATTGAGGCAGGATTCTTTCGAGTAATACATGACCCTGGTGGGTATTAATCCTGGTAATTTAGGCAGGTGTATGCAAGTGATCCTGGAAACTAAATATAAATTTCCATGTTAAAGGTTTAGTTTCTATAATGGCATTTTCTGAAATGCCAGAGAGTCTGCAGATCCTGCAGTCTCACTGTGGTGATGACGCTCATTAAAATGGCAGGAAGAAAAGAAAAAAAAGAAATTATTAATGTTGGGTTTGGGGGATCAACTATTTGGCAAAAAAAAAGTTTGCGGAAACATTTAAGAAAAGCTTGAGGCTTTGCAATTATTTCTGCACACAGATCACTATGTTGGTTTATCCAACTACTGCTGAACACCAAAACAGGTCCCAACCATAGCTAGGATAGAGCTGGCTGACCAGATTTATTCCTGACTCTCTTCATTTATCAGAGTAGCTTTACTTCCTGCGTTTGTAAGCGTGACTTGCTTTTCTAGCCACAAGATCAGATCACAGTTGCACCTCATCATGTGTCAGTGCAAATAAATGTGTCCCTGTCCTGTTTAAAATCATTATTTTCTTCCCGTGTTTTCTCCGAGTTGTGCCATGGCAGGGAAATTTTCATGGGCTTTGATTTCCCTTAGTTCCTACTTCTCCTCTACCCGTGTTACTGTGCTGATTTGTCTTTTCCTTATGCTGTAATTGGTCTGGTGCCACAGTGTAATTTTTAACTGTGTGCAGTATCAACAGACCTCCATCTGTCTCTCCTCCAGAGCTTCCCAGCCTGCCGTTATAAATATCTGCCAAATCCTTCTCCAAAGAGAGGATCACCAGATTCCAACTGTTTGCAAAATAAGAGCCCCCGCCAGAAATCCTCTCCCACCGTCTGCAACCTGTGCAGAACCTGTGTCCTGTGTTGTGAGATGTTATCCTGGCGCTGAGGAGCTCTGACCATTGCTTTAATTTATTGTCCCTCAGAAGCGTACGCTTCTGCAGAGCGTTCAGCATATTGTTCTGTTTGCTCAAATATCTCATTATGCGTGTCATTTTATTAAAAACTAATAGCCATCAGGTAATAAAACCAAAATATCTTGAGAGTTGGGTTTTTTTTCCCCTTTATTTAAAACATGCTGTGGGATGGATCAGTTCCAGTGTTGTTTTATAAGATATTTTACTTGACCTGAAAGGGAGTCAGAGTACATCCCCCTTTCCCAGCCTGTCACTTAGGGACCGAGGGCCAGTTACCACGATCTAAAGCCACAGTAACCGATAGGACCTGCTGACTGTGCATTCACCCTGCTGAGAGCGGAGTTTGATCTTCCACCTCTCTATACATATACATCAAAATAGATCATTAGAAGAATTAGCACTAAACAAGGCAACGCATTTATTGGATTATGCACGCTGAAAAATATCAACTTTTTTAACGTGGATAAAATAAAACCATGTATAAAGACATTTAGATAAAGTAAAATATAGATTACAATGTAGGTGCCCTTTTAACACTGTTAAAGCCATTCTCATAACAGTACATTGATTCCATTGATTCAAAGCTGTGTTAAGCTCGTGTGGCTTTTTAAATTCAGTTGTGTACCTTAGGCTATGATCATCTCACATGTTAGCGTTTGCTGCTGGAACGGCAGCTTAGTGTGGCTGAGAAATTACCAACGAGTCTGTTTAGGTGCTGCTGCAGACATCAAAATGTATGTTTGAATAAAACTCTTGCCAGCTAAAATCAGATCCAAGGAACAATATTCCTGTTCTACCTATGGGATATTGGAGTAAGTCAGCAGAAAGGATTTCTCAAGGTTATTTCAGGAGAGGGTTTCACGTTTTGATCTGCTACATCTTAGTTCTGCAGAGCTTTGCAAGGGAACATAAGGAATGTAAAGCATCTTGGGGGGTTGATAAATTGTCCTTCCAGTCTACATTCAGAATAACCCAATATTTCCAAGAGACAGAAAAGCAGGTACCACACTTATTTGACATGGGCATGGACCATGGGGACTTTTGCTGGAGTGTTTTTCTGTGGATAAGTAGAGGAAAGCACCTGAAGGACCAAAGCAACATGGGAGTTTGTTTCATGATGTATAGTCAGGTTCAAAAACCACTGGTATTTCCATTGTCTGGGTTGCGCTGCGGATTTGACGTTCATTTTTGAAGGTTTTAGGACAATCAAGTTCATGATTTTCTAGGAGGGTGTGCTACCACTTAATAATACATTATGACAGGAGAGAAGTATGTACAAACAAGTCTAAGCCTGCAGGACTGCTATACTTAACTCTCAAATGAATAATATCCCCAGCCATTGCCAGGGGTGGCAGCGAGCAGCTAGAAAAGTGAAACGAGAGAGACCAGACTACCCCAGCGGTGATGTACTGACTGCCCAGCGGGTCGAGCGGGCAGCGCAAAGGAGCTGGTCTGGGGGTATAGCTGTGCTTGCAAGATTGAGATCTATCCCTTATTTAAGTCTGATTTTCTGGAGCAAGATTTTCTTGTAAAGGAACAGCCATGATTTGTTTAAAGTCTTTAGGAGATAAAAAGCAGATGGCATTGATTAGCTAATTAGTAATATTTTCTGCAACTTATCAGCTGTGCTGATATGTGTAAAGTTTGCAAAAGCTTGGGATGAGTCTTTCTCTCTTTGATTTGTTGAAGAAATCGGCTATTTTAAAATCTGGAGGGGAGGGAGAGTTATATACAAATGTGTAATTTTCTGCCTAACAGAAATATGTTAATCTTTTCCTTTGAATTTATATTCAGGACTCATTTCTTATTTTTGAGGGAAATATGCACAACGAGGTTGCAGCTCTCTTAGCTCTTGTCTTGATTGCATGGTGTATTGTGTAATGTGCTTTCTGGCTCTCCTCTATTCCTTTTTGTGGGCATTCTTCCTCCTCTTTTGCATTTATTATGGAGACAAAGCAAAATATTATTTTTTATTTTATGCCAGGCTCACTTTTAGCTTGTCTCCCTGTGAACCCTTTTCAGCCACAGCAGTGCCCTATCAGGACTTCTGCTGAGTGTTGGCCACCTGTAAAATCAGACTCATGTTTTGCTCAGCATAGAAGAGGTATCTCCATGACCACTGCTAAGGTAGTGCTGTTTTGTCCAGAGCATCACTGGGGTGTTGGAGTCCCCTCTGACCTTGAGTTACATTGGACACAACTCAAATATCTTGAAGTTGTCTCTATGATGGCAACTGTTCATCATCTGGGGTGAGATAGAGTACCTCACTAAGATGTTAATATAAAGAAGAATGCCTGAGAAAGGATATCAGCCTTTCTGACCCTGCTGGTTGTGTAGCAAAAAACCATCTGCTTTCTTCAGCAAGGTGGAATCAGGAGGCCTCGCAGTCAGTAGTCATGGTGGTCTTTATGGGAATGAGCATGGGTGGACACAGCTTTGGATTCCCAGCAAGCTCCATAATTAGGGCACGCTGCAAATTCTCTGGAGGCTTGAGCTCTGCACCAGCACCACTCTAAAGCCTTTCACACAACAAGGTCTCAATGCAGAAACTGTATTTTAATTGCCAGTGTGCAGCATGGGTGACACGCAAGCTGTCAGCTGGCCACCTGTGACAGTGGAGAATGAGAAAGAGCTTTGTTTTCCTATTCTGTGGAGCTGTCCTCCCTTGCAGATGCTCAGCAGAACAGCTTGACAGTGCTTAACTCCCATTTAAGACTTCAAAACAGAGCATGATGCAGGTTGAGGTGGGGCCTAGACATTGTGCTGGTCAACTGCCTGAGTTGTGCTCCATTGAAAAGCCATCAGGACTGGAAACTGCCTAAAGAGAGACAGATTTGTGCCTCTTATATAGAGCTTTCTATTTTCCATGGGGTTCGGTGTTGAAGCTTTAGCCAAAAGTATGACATTTTTTTATTAGTTCTTAAACTGAAGAAACCACAAATTCTGCATCCTCTCTGGAGCACGGTCTTGTTAATGTTCTTTGAAACACGACATGTGTCATGGCCATCAAACTGCAGTGATCCCATTTCTTCTGAAATGAGAAAAATATGTCACTTTTGGCTCTAAGTGATACAAAAGGAGAGTCATATTTTAGATAGGAGCTGCATGGCTGCCAAAGATGAAAGAAAAATGTTATTACTTTTGGAAATTTCATAATTACAGTTAATGATAATTTAATGAAATGACATTGTCTTCACCACTATCACTAATGAAATGTTTGAGAGTGATAAAACAGATCTTGTTAAATAGAGCGAGAGTCTTGATTGGAATAGCTTTGTGACAGCAGCCTGCATGCACAAGTCTTATTTCTGGTTTTTGTTACAGTAGTTTAAAGAAGCAGGTAAAAGAAAGGCGACATGGCAAATAATGCATACATGAAGTATTTAAAGGCCTTCCATTGAGCAAACAATGCTGAACTCCTGAATAACATGCTGATGTCTGAGTACTGCTCCTTAGAAATGCTAACCCTTCATTAAAACACTTGCCTTGTTTTTCTTTGCAGACAAACCAGAGAACAAGAAACCCCACCTGACTTTTTTTATTTCTCAGACTATGAAAGACATAATGCAGAAATAGCAGCATTTCATTTGGACAGGCAAGTAAACCAGATTTGCATTAAAAGAAAGTGGAAATACTGTGATAAGTTTCTGCACTTGGCCAAACCTGTAACTGAATTACCTTTAAAAAAGGAGAAAATGGAACAAAGGTGAGCAAATGCCATGAATAAATGAAATGGCAGATGATGAAAAGGTAGATTAATAATTAGGAAATGTGACTTGCTCTGGGAATGAGAAACCTGGCAATAAGTAATTCTCAAAAAGAAAGAGAAATCACACTGAAGAGAAGACGAGAAATTAATTTCCCCTGTGATCTTGAAGTGCATATGGAGAGGATCTGTCTCCTGGGCAATATGTGGCATAAGTGTGATGGGAGTCTGGCTCACCCCAATTAGCTCCAGGGCATGCAAATCCAGGCAAGACATGGGGAATGGGGTGAGTATTCCGAGAGGAATAATTGCAATGGGGAGGGAGTTCTGGTTTCACAGCAAGAAGCTGGGACTGTCCCGTATCAGGAGCACATTTAGGCCATGTTAGAGGGAAGGGGAGTGCAGTGCTGGTCATGCCATGCTCCTGTTAGCTGAAAATGTCTCCCCAGGCAGAGTTAGTGCAGGGTAGATGGTGGATACCCCAAGACTGGGAAGGGACTGCAGTCCTCTCAGCCTACCCACATTAGGAGTGGGAATTAATAATTAACAATTAATTAACCTTACGGCTAGAAACCATGGCATTTCACTGGCTGAGTTAGAACTGAAGCATCTTGCACACCCTGAAGTGCCAAGAAATGTCCTTTCAAAAGCTTGAAGCTTTGGGGCCACAAATTATTTGGGGGTATGTGTAGTATTGCTGCCTCCTGGGTTGATGGTTAGGATAAGGAAACCTGTCAACGGGTGGCACAGGGTAGATTTGCCATTAAAAGCCATCCTGGTCAGATCCTTCAGGGATCTTCTATATTTTATTGTTGTTGATGTTGGTGTTGATCCCTTCTGTTTTAGATTTTATATTGCTGTTTTAAGCAGATGGTGCTGCAGGAAAAAACATTAATGGAGTTCCTACAGGGAGGTGCGTTAAATATCTACACACTAAGCAGAAAAAGCAGTTGCTACTCAATGTAGAAAACCTTATCAGCAGACGGCGGACATAAAAATCCCACCTATGGGGAGGCTTTGTATGGGGACTTCGCTCTTTTACTGTATCTAATAGCAATGCTTCATACGCTTCATATGAAGTTTTTAATGATTTACTAAGGCAGGGGAGTTTGGGGTAGAGAAGGGCTCTTCATCCAGCCTTTGCCCATGGGAAGATTTTTAGTCTCAGGGAGATTGTTTAGGTTGGTATAAGGGTATTAAAACAGAGAGGAGCAAGAGCAAATAAATCAAACAAACACTAAGACTGTCAGAAATAAAAAATACTATTAGATGGTGTTTATGGAAGAAAGAGACTGAAATCCCATTCCTCAAGTCACTTAAAAATTTGGTGAGCAAAATGCATGTTATAGCAATCCTGAAGTAGCACGAAGTCAAAAATCGGTTTCTACTGTCTCTTATTTCTGGAATTCTATGTATCTTCATTTTAAAAATCTAACAATGTGTTCCCGTACTCTTCTGTATTTTGCATCTGCTCCACTCTGTAGGCAAGTCAGAGGTGATCATATTCAGGACATAATTTATAATACGGTATACGAAGAATTATCCAGTTAAAACCTGATGCTTTTTTTTTATTTCTTGAAGACCACAGATAAATGTGCCTTCAGAGTGTAATGAACCTTCCTAAAACATACCACTATCATTCTATTTTAATCCTTTACATAAACTCTTTATTTCCTTTCTCTTCCAGGATCCTGGATTTCCGTCGCGTGCCACCGGTTGCGGGTAGACTGGTTAACATGACGAGAGAAATACGAGATGTTACTCGTGACAAGAAACTGTGGAGAACGTTTTTCATCTCACCAGGTAGTCTTGGAAATAACACTATATTCTTTCTATCCTGCCAAACACATACTTAAGGGAACGATGTGTAGATTGCTTAATTGCTCAGATACTTCTAATAGAACTGTCTTCTAGACCTTTGAATAAAAATAAGTGTGGAGACATAGCCTACAACGAAGACTTTATTGTTTTGAATTGAGTGCCTTTTCCCCTTGACAAATTATCCGCAGAGACAGGCTTTTATGTTCACAAAAGCAATGTATTCAACAAATGTTTTATGTAGAGCAATTTCTAAAGCAATTTCTTCTGTTGCTCTCAATTTACCCAAACCCTTATTATTTAGCCCGTTAGTTATTGAGACTTTTTTCCTACTGCAATGTGATCCGTCACTTCTGTTGGTCAGATGCATTTATTTCTTGGTTTTGACTGGAGGACCAAAACCTAATTTTCTCAGAGTCATGTACTTCAGTTTTTATTACAACAGGAGTTTGAAAAAAGTCAAGCAAATAGATGTGTAACATATCCTGCTTCCATCTCAAGTTCTCTGCTGGATAGAGGCCAGAGTAGAAGTGACATGAATTGTTCCCAGTCCTTGCTCTTGCTTTGAGGGCTGACCCCAGGAACCAATACCACTCTCCCTAACTCATCACTCTTTCACAACATCCAGTGGCCCCGGCAAGGATGGAGCACCACGGGGTGGGAATTTTACAAACACAGGGTAAAACCATGCCCTGCTCACCAGAATAGGTGGAGATGGACAAAAGGTGGGAGAAAGGGTATCATACTCTGTTTAGCATCTGGGATGCTGAGGTGAAGAACTAAGGCTCTGAGTTAAGGCACAAAAATACATGCTTAATTATGCACTTAGTGAAGGAATATATAGGGAAACGTTCAATTTAAAGCATGTAGCTGTGTTCAGGTGAGCTTATTGCGTGCAAATGTGCTTTGATGAACTCAGGCTGTGACTTGTGTAACAGACAATCTGGAGCAGAAATCTCTGGAGATCTCCCTTGCTCTGTGTGTGATTGGCCAGAAGTTGTTTACCCCAGATCCCTAAAGTCAAGATCCAAAGACTTAATTACAGTTTCTCCCAATGTAGCTGTAATTTATTGCCGTTAGCTAGAAAGCAGAGCACTGTCACTGTAGAGCTTTCTCTCATAAAATGTTCATCACACTTTTGTGATCACCAATAATGTCATTATTATGGCTGTTATTTTTAGCTTCATATTTATGTTGAGCTCTGCAGGACACAGCTGAGCAGACATTTATTTCAGTAACTTCACTTGTAAAATACATTACATAATTACAAAAGGTTTCATCTTACTCCACGTTCTGAGTGCTCCAATTTTATATGTACAGTCGCGGTGACAGTGGTGGCAGTACATGGCGACAGTGTTCACCAAACCTGATGCGCAGACATTTCTGCGTGCTCCAGATAGGCACTTCTGCTTCAGTTGCTTCCTCTCCCTCTCCCTCTCTGTCTCTGCATTTTTTTTCCTTGATTTTTTGTAAGCAAATAATCACACACAAAAGATGGCAGAAAAATCTTGTGACTGTTTATGTGCACAAGGTACTTTGGCTCATTTAAAATATAAGCCATTTTATTCCCACTTTAGCAAGTAAGGCGTGGATTAGTAGGTTTGCTTGCTTTTTAGTCTTCCCAGGTTATGTATCAAGGCTTAGGGGTGAATTGAGTCATTTCTGAGAATTACGAAACTGTACTGAAGTACTGAGCAGCTTACAGCAGCCAGAGCACGGCAATGTGAAGTTAAGGCTGCCGGTTTGGATGAAGATCTTTATCTTGTCATTATGAAATTCCAGACAACCAAGGGATGATCCAAGCATAATCCTTTATTCAAATTTATTTAGAGTCCGCTGATAAATTCAATTAAAATATTTGATTAACTATGAATCAGGCTTTTCTGGAGAATAAAATGCTGAAGCAATTAATTTTTTTTTTCAATTTTACATTTCCTAAATCAATATACTTTGTTTAAATCATGCTGGTTACTGTCAGAGTTCTTCCCGACAAGTCCCCAGTTTAATTAGTCAGATTCTCATTAACATATGCCCAACCTCCGTTTTGTATTTCATGATGACCTTAAAAGGCAGGCATTAATTAATGCTTAATGAAAAAGTAATAAAGGTCCTAAATTAAGCATTTAGAAACAAATTCACAAACCTAGCAGACAACTCAAGCAGCAGACTGAGGGCAGAAAAGGGAAAAGAGGATCGTGCTGGGATGAGCCCTGTGGCCTGGGAAGGTGAGGATGGAGAGGGAACAGGGCACCTGAGGAAGACTGGAAGAGACTCTGGCGGATGAGGTGCAGCAAAATCAGTTGGTTTTGGGGGAAGACTGGTTACAAAGCTGAGAGATTGAGATGTGACACATAGGTACTTGCAAGAACCAGCCTGAGCACCCACATTAAACTATCAAGGCCCCTCTGGAACTGCCTTTCATGTGGCAGTGTCTGCATCTCCATCCCAGCAGCGCTCAGTGACAATGGTCATGGGGACACATGGTGTCTGCTGGCAGTGTATCCCCTCTCCATGCACCCATATACATCTCTTGAAATTACATGAGCACTAAATGTAATTATTTTATAGAAAGCTCTTTGCCTCAGGCTGGGAGATCACTCTTTGTGGTGGAAGCCCTCAGAGGGTAAATATTGATGATGCTCATCAACACACTGTTATTCCCTGGACCAGTGCAGGGATGTGTTGGAAGAAACCTCGCTGCATTTCCATGCCTGGGCCATCTCACTTATCCCATCAGGCATGGAAATCAGGGCCAGGAAGCTGCAGACAGTTGTAGCATCAGACCTCGCTGCAGAGTGGCATCCCTTCCTCCACTGGAAAGTGGAAATGGCTGCGAACAGACAGGTCAGTCAATACATTAGGCTGCATTCAGAGAGAAAGCAGATTGCAGGAAAGTGCACTTCCAGGCAGTTTGGACTAAACATGAGAAATGGAATTAGGTCAGTAATTATTTAAATTAATTTTATATCCTTTGCAGTAGGGCAGACCGCAATAGCCCTGCTACTCTTACAAATGAATGGTAATTTGCTAGGAAAAAAGAGACATATTAATGATGTCAGCCTTCGTTTTGGAAGTAATTGAGGCAGCAGCTTAAAGAAATCAATGTTCCACAGCTAGTGAGCACTATGTTTTTGTTCATATTAATCAATTCCAAGGGATTATGGATTTTTTTTTCCCGTCTCAGCAAACAATAGCAATTCTGAGTTACCTATTATTTTGAGCAGGTAAAAGAAAGATCTTTTCATGCATTGCTTTAGTAAATATTCAGGATTCTTTCCAGTACTCCAGTTGCACAGGCTTGCTAAATGTCTTCTATTAACAGTCATGCAAATCTCAATAAAAGAATTGCTCTGCCAAGCAATTTGCTTTAAGGTATCTCCACTTGTCCTTTTTCTTCCTGAGAAGAATTATTGTTCAGCTACCAGGATGACACAAAGAAAATGTGCAGATAAGTACACAGACACTGACTCTTAATTATAATTAGTTGGAGTTTCGATCACCAGACCGTGATTTTTGCATGGATTTCATTATGAATTGTATCCATTCATCCTCAGATAATGAAACTCAGACATTGCACCACCACCCAGGATTCTAGTGCTTTGAGGAAACAATCTTATTTTTAACGAAGAAGGAGTTTGCGTGTTTCAAATTCCCAGCATTTGAGTGTTTGAGCACATATAAACATCCCTCCCTTTCTGGTTTGCCAACACTGCTGCTGCTTCCATTTCTACCCACTCTGCAGGGACACAAATTCCTGGCAGTTACTTCTTTTGCAGGTGTTAGGGACAGGGGTCTGTACAGAAACACCCGCATCGGATGGGAGAGGAACATACGGGCTGGGCAGTTTTGATGGGAGAAGGACCACACTCCGATAGACCTCACCTCCCCTTTCCCTCTTATTTTTGCCTTTGAAAGGCCAAACTGTGAGATTGCCAGCAAAGCACTGGGCTTGTGTCTCGCTGGAATTTCACCCTCAGCCTGCTGTGCAGAATGTGGGTCACCTATTTAGGTTTCAAAGACAGAAGCTTGGTACTGCACCTTGTAGTCTTAAATGAGAACTGTGTTTTTCTCTATTTGGTACCTTCATTTTTTCTACATTTTTAAGAAACCTTAAAAATTAATGTTTCTCCACATATTTCAGGCTGCTTCATCTCACTCCCAGTATATAAGAACTAGGGTAGACATACCAGGATTTCTATTCTCTATCAATCAAAGCAGTTCATTTTTTTAACAATAACTTGAGATATAACATCCTTTCACCTCCACTACCCCCGGAACTCAAAAAGGAACCATGGAGAGTAAGCACCACAGGTCTGAGCCCACAGGGAGAATAACAGCTGGCAGAAAAACCTTTGCCATTGGAAGTAACTTCTCTCTGAGAAATACACTTGTGGTTTTACTGCAAGTTTGTTGTCTTAATGACAGAAAACATCCTGCCATTGCTCAGAGGACTGGACTCCCCTTGCAGGCAATGGGGGCTCTGTAGGAAAATCATTAGCTGGAGGAGCCCTGCAGGAGTGGGGATGAGCAGCCCGGCATGGTGCAGGCAGCACACGTGCTAGCTGTGTCACCGCAGCAGCAAATGCCATAGCTGCTATAGCCCCCAAGCTTTCCTGAAGATTTATCTGGATACAAATGTGTGATTACTGTCAAATGATTAGTCCCAGTTGCTTCTGTTGACAATACAGAGCAGGGTTTCATTGTTCCCAAAGTTAAATTCAGAAGCAAACTATTAAACACAGTATTTATCTTCCCACTGTGCAAAATGCTGTGTTTAGTATAATTCCTTTTTTGAAAGGTCAGGTTTACTAGTGAGCAACAGAGGCTGTGATAGCGCAGCGGGGGCACTGGTGGGCCTTTTGCTCTTTACAAAACTGTTACAGCAGCAGATAACCAGGCATCAGCTTCCCACTGCCAGGTGGAAGTCAAGTCACAGAAACCTGGAAGATAAATTATCTCACGTGATCAAGACGACTCTGCGTGGGTTCCCTCCCTCCACAGATGAGTGGGTGATGCTGACACAGCTGAATTGAACCACAAGCCCCACTGCACCTTCCAACTGGTGGAAACGTAAACCCTCGCTGCAGCGCAGAGGAGAGCTCTACCTTCTCACTGCAGCAGCAGGCGCCCGGGAAATAAGTGATCTCTTTATATCTCTTAACTCTTTTGTGCTAGCCTACAGCAAGCAGCATCTGTATGTGATTTCTTGTAAACCAACCCTTGTGGCAGCCTGGAACCCTTTGAAATATTTTGTCTGCAATAATTTCTTTCGAGGATATAAATCACAGATGTTTTTCCCCAGTTTTTATTGGCTGAAAATATCCCAACCTTGCTAACAGCCCAGTATGATCCTCCCGTCTGCAGGCGGTCTGCAGCTGGCAGTGCTGCCCACAGGTACTTGGACAACTCTTCACTTTCATCCTGAATTATGGAAGAGGTTCACAGGGAGGCATGAAGCCCTCCTGGTTTTGCCAGGATGATCAAAGGCAAAGCTGAGGCACCTGTGTTAGCCCTGCAAAAGCTATGCCAAGTCCATGCTGTGATAGCGTTTTTGAAAAGGAAACCTGTGAGAGATTATAGACTGCGGGGCACCATGCCCAGGGTTTGCTTTAGGTTGGGTTTGTCTAGATGTTGACTTTACACTTGATTTTAGATTAATGAAATGAGTCTGAAGGAGGGCCACTGAGATAGTCCTGGAACTGGTGCATCTGGTGTACAAGGAGAAGCTGAGGGTTTCAGAATTTTTTAACCTGAAGAAGCTGGCCTGAAGCTGTAGGTTGGACTAGAAGCTTCCAGAGTCCTTTCCAACCTGAGTTTCCTTAACTGTGATTGCTCTTCGTTTTTAAAGCTTCACTCTCAGTGCTATGAGTTATATTACTGAGTTGCTTAAAAGGAAAAATGAGTGAGGTTTCTGTTTAGAAGTTAGAAGGCATATCGTGTGATGAGCAGCACCGAGGTTCATGCTGGTGTTTGTAGGAAATAGCTGAGTGCTGTATTGGCCAAGGACATGGTCACTTCTTAGCTCATGGGAAGTCTCAAACTACTGTTACTTCATTTAAAATGTTAAGGGAGTAAGTATGCTTTCTATGTGAGGAAAAGCTTTTAAAATAGTTTCTAAGAATGGATATTCTGCCGGTAAAACACTTTAAATTACAAAATTAAAAGTATAGACATGCTGAGTGCTCCCTTCCTTCCTTTGTAAATTTCTGTTCTTCATTTTCTCTTCCCTGAAGTACTTTCAGTAATTGTCAACAAGGCTTTTGACCACAGGGTAAATATTTCTGGACTGAGTCAGGATGTATTTAACTGGTTTAAGCCAACCCTGTGAATGTAAATATACAGTTTGGGTTGGAGTTGTTCCTGAGCACAGATAGATGGGTGGCCCTTATGAGTCAGTCACAGCAGAGGGCTTCAAAAAGCCTGTCTGCAGAGTAAAGTAATCACGGCTTAACGGACAAATCTGATGGCCATTAATAGAGGCTTGGAAATGAAGAGCTGGGACAAACTGTCAAGTAGTAACACATCAGCCTTATAGTCCAATTATTTAGTGTAATTCCATGCTTAGCAATTAGTCCCAGATAATGCACCTAATTATTACAATCAAAAGCATCACAAGTCCTTATGGCTTTTCCATATTTTCCTACTCCTCTTTCCCCAGTTGCAGCTCCATGCTCTGTTTCTCCCTCCCTCCTGTTACCTCTGTAGCACCAGGGCCAGGATTGCTCCCTGTCCTCTTGACTCATTGTCTCTGGCAGTGTACCATCTCCACTGGGTGCTTTGCCAGCCATAGGTTGGGTCTGGACCAGGACATCATGGCCATGTGCAGGGCAGTGTGCTACAGGGCATCTCTGTGGTGTAAACCCACCAGTTCACCTTTCCAAGCCACAGGGTCTCCTGGGGCAGGCAGAAAATCACCCCCCTCTATTCACCAGCCCTTCCTGCCTCATTTATACTGAGCCTGCCCAAAGGGAAAGTAGCTCACAAGCAGTATTGGAATTTAGAGGCCTTGTGGGGAATTAGGAAGCAGCGTTTCTCAGATTCATGCTTTACCATAAGGAAAGGGCATAGTCTTCCTCTAATGGCATTTTATGTGCATAAAGCAATATCAAAAGAGTTGTAGCACACAGACAAGAAGATCAGCAGTGTGCCTCTATTCTTGTTCATAGTCCAGCATTGGTGGGCTTTGGGGATTAGCTGCTCTCTCCCACTTCCAGTGAATTCACATGGGAAGGGAGTTCTTATAAAGAGGTGGGAGTTCCTGTTGGTACAGAAATGTGTAGTGGCAGCTTTGGGGAGATCTTAAGGTAACACACACTCCAAAACCAAAAGATTCAATTTTTTGTGGTTGTTGGAGTAACGTGATGTGTGGAGGCAGAAATCTGTGCTTGGGATGTGTACTGACAGAGTTACATCTGTGCTATTTCCACCTTACACACACACGCCCACATGAGTCTTCATGGTAAATAATTCTCCTTAGTAAAACTGCCAGTTCTTCTCAAACCAGCAAGTAAATGAATGAAATGTTGTTGTCTGTTCTTAAAGAAACGAGCCAAGATTTTGAAAGGTGATTTTATTTTGGGCACATGCCACTTGTTCAGCTGTGGGATTTGGGGTTCCAGCCTGGGGTAACAAGTATATCCCAAAGGATGTATCGGTCTGGGAAAATGAAAGAAGAAGGGAAAGGATTAAAAAATATATAAAATTTGGGGTTTTTGAATATAAATAGACTGGAAATAGTCACAGAGAGCTTAGCATAGGGCATGACCCCAGCCACTGAAATGAATGTCATTCTGGTGGTTTTAGTGGAAGAAAACTATGTGTGGTAACAGGGTTTTGGGTCTGAGATTTATTTCTGCTCATGCATACATCACTGCTTTTATGAATTTTTGAACGCTAATTTAAGAGTAGGTTTTGAAACTATTTTCCTTTATTTGCCAGCCAACAACATCTGCTTCTATGGGGAATGCTCCTACTACTGCTCAACAGAGCACGCCCTGTGTGGAAAACCAGATCAGATCGAAGGGTCTCTGGCAGCTTTCCTACCTGATTTATCTTTAGCTAAAAGGAAAACCTGGAGAAACCCCTGGAGACGTTCTTACCACAAGCGGAAGAAAGCAGAGTAAGTAGTGGGGAGCAAAGGGTTTGCCAGCTGCAAAGGGCCATAGAAGAATAAAACAGTGCTGCAGTTACTGCCCTTGCCTGATCTAAAGCACTGAGGCTTAGGAGAGCATCTGCATTTCTTCAGCGGGTCCAGCTCCTGGGAAGGGACAGAGTACTTAGACTTGTAAGGAGCTCCAGCTTATGGTCCTGAACCTGGAAGGACCTTCAGTGGCATAATTCCCTCATGGGACACATACCTCCAGTGGCTTTGACAGGATGCAACCAGACCTGTCTAAGTCCTGTCAGAGGGAGAAAGATTCACTGCTATCAGCAGCCCTAAACAAGTCTCAGATGTTCTCATCATATGACTGATGGTGAAGCTGGTCTCCTAAATCTTGAAGTTATTAGCCAGATAGTTTTCAATCTTGTGATTTTCTTCCTTTTTCATCAGTCACAATCTTTATCAGTTGCCTGCATTAGTAGAAGCAGACTGAAGGATTTGCTGCCTGTACTTGACCCTGCCCTCAGTCCAATGTGATACAATTAGATCTTTGCAAAATAACTTTTTTTTTTTTAAATACTCAGTAAGCTTTGTGTGTCATGTAAAATATCAAAATACTGGCTTTTCCAGATGGGAAGTTGATCCAGATTATTGTGAAGAGGTTAAACAAACACCCCCGTATGACAGTGGGACCAGAATTCTGGATATAATGGATATGACAGTTTTTGATTTCCTGATGGGTATGTTTCATCTCTTTCAAAAATTAAATGCAACATTTAATTAGAATAAGAACCATTTCTTTCTATACCACTCTGCTTAGCTCAGCAGTTTGCCAAAGCATGGTTGAAGCTGCATTTACTGTATGTGCCATTCTAGATGATTATGAGAAAATGCAGATTTACATGGTTGTATATTCCCATCAGTGCAGATTAAAGGAACAAGAACGTTCAGAAATGCAGAGTGATGATGAACACACATCAGGCTAGTCCCCTTCTCAACAGTTAAGGGCTTCACAGTTTGCTTTAGTGAGTGCTTTACTATTGTAATGTATGGCCCCTGGATGCATATGCAAGGACTGTTCATTACTGTCTCTCTGGTTTCAACCTGCAGTGGTATTCACTGTTGCTTGCTCTATAAACTGTCAGAGCGGGGAAAAAAAAAAGAAATATTGCTTTGTCACAGAGCCAACTGTGGTGTGTATAAGGAAGTTTTTTTCTGTTTATGTAATCTGGTCAAAATAAAATAATTATTAACAAGCAGGTAATAGTGACCTCTTCCAAACCTACTCAGAGGTTAACACTGAGACATTCTCATACAAAACCTGTTCTGCTGCAGCTAATATACCTGTAAGGTGCCAACATACATACCTAATCCTTGGATACATGCCAGCACAGACATATCCTCTGCCATTGCCACTACTGATATTTCTGCAAGAGACAGCATAAGGAGAGGCCAGAATAACAGCTCAGGCTCACCATATGTGGCATCTATAAGAGCCTTAAGAGCCCTGGCCATGAAGACAAAATTCATAGCTTGACACCAATACTCTGCATGTTGACCTTAAAAAGCAGATTGCACGTCTGCCTGCCGTAGGTGCCCAAAGAGAACTGTTCAGCCATACCACTGGAGTAGCATCCTGATCCATACATTAGAGCCCTGATGTCATTTTGGCTTTGCAGGCAGCCAGAAATTTGGTCAAAGTTCTTGATCAAGGTCAAACAGAATGTTTGGTCTCAGTTCAAAAACTTTAATACGATATTAGTAAAGCCATGTGGATTAATATCTCTGCTTGGAGCTTGCATTCTCCCCTCCGTAAACTAAGCCTCACACCAGCATGGGTACCGTGGCTGCTTTGCACACCAAACTGACCCAGGGCTGGGGCAGCAGGGCTCGTTTGCACTGATGAAGCTCAGGCTTAGGATGTGGCTACCTCAGGATGACCAGGATCCCCAGACAGCTGAGATGCCACCATACTTAAGAGCGATTTCCTTGGCATGTGCTGGGAGGGCTTGCTGGAGGGTGGGGAGGTTTGGCTTTATCTCCTGCTGGGTCCTCTAGAGGTTAAGTATAAAAGCTACAGGGAGCTTGAAAAGTTCCCAGAGACTTAAGCCCATCTTCCAGCATCCAGGGCTTGCATAGTAGAAACAAATGAGCTTAGGAGATATGTTGCTTTCTCTGCCCTGCACAGCCATCATGTTTGGGGAGCACTGGGCTTCTTGCTGAACCGTGGCTTTTGTATTGCCCTGGCCTGCAGGCTCAGCAGCAAGCCAGAGTGGGAACAGTCTTTTTTTTCTCTTTGTTCCATAGGTAACATGGATCGACATCACTATGAAACCTTTGAGAAGTTTGGAAATGAAACGTTTATTATCCACTTAGATAATGGAAGAGGGTAAAAACCTTTAATAATCTTTCTGGGGGGGAAAAAAAAAAGTCTTTAAAACAGCCTTTGTCATGTTCTTGCTCTTACCTTTGAACAGGTTTGGAAAATATTCCCATGATGAACTTTCCATTTTGGTGCCTTTAAACCAGTGCTGCAGGTATGTTTCAACTCCTGACTTGTTTCCCATTTTATACAGATGTATCCACATCTGTAATAGGATCTATAGCATCTACAAATAGGAGAGAAATGTTGAAGTGATTCTTCTATTGCATACCGTGGTGTTGAGGAGATGTTACGATATTGCCCAGGGGGGCTGACATGAGCTAGCCCTGAGCATTGGCACCAGCACGTTAAGTGCTTTGTTGCGATCAGAGCTCGCAGGAGTTGTGAGAGGCTTCATTGAGACAAAATACACATCCTGTGGAAGTCAGTGGCAAATCTTAGCTCAGCTTGTTCAACATCTTCACAACATCTTTCCTCAGTGCCCAGGGCCAGGATTTTCAGAGGGAACAGGTGCCATTTACAGTTTCAGTTTTGCACAACTGGAACACGGGGTGAGCTCTGTGTCTGCTGAGGCTCTGGGCATCCCTGCAGGCTGAGCTAGCAGGAGCCTCTGCTGCCATCGCCCATGCCCCAGCTCAATGCCACGTGCATCATGCGTGTCATTGCCAAGGTGGACGTGACCCTCTGAATGATGCGCCAGATCCAGCTGGTGCCTTACCCAGCTGAGGAACACGAAGGCTGTTTGCACTTCACTGTAGAGCTCTGCTCCAAAACCTCTCCACCTCTAAGGGCTCCCAAAGATCGCTGGCCAGGTGACAATGCCAGCTGCTCATTAGGATTGTGACAGTGCCTGGTTCTCATCATTTCAGATCACATAATAAGGTTTTTACACTATTATTGCTGTGCTGACTATAAGCCTTTTAGCTCTGTCAAGATCAGTAATGATTAAAATACTGATTTGCATTTTTTTTTTCTCCTTTTTCTCTTAGAATAAGGAAGTCTACCTATCTGCGATTACAGTTGTTAGCCAAGGAGGAATACAAACTCAGTCTCTTGATGAAGGAATCTTTACAAAAAGATAAAATAGCTCCCATCCTCTACCAGCCTCACTTGGAGGCGATGGACAGACGGCTGCGGATTGTCCTCAAGGCTGTTAGTGACTGTATAGAAAAGGATGGTTATGACAATGTGGTTGAAAATGACTTTAACACTGATGTTAACACTGTTACGACCGAGAGGTAGTAAAATCGCAAGACTACGTTTTTACCAGTCAAGTAAAGAAGATTCAAAGAGGAAAAAAAAAAAATATTAAGTCTTGCAAAAGACTGTGTATGCCACTTTGTGAATTCAGTGAATTCAGAAATGAGATATAATTGTTCCCAAAGTAGGTAAAGTTTAGACTCTGCAAAGGTTTAGTTCATTAAGAAAAATAAGTCTAATGTGATGCTTTTCATTAGTTCCTAAAGAGAGATTATGAAAAGGTTCAGAAAATACTCAGATCATTGACAGACAACAGTCTGATAGCAAAACACCTCCTGTCCTTTTTGTATAGAAAGGAGGCCTTTACTTAATATTTTGTATTTATATATGGTATATCTATGAAACCCCAGACCTACCTACCAAATTTAACTAAGAGGGACGGCATAGTTTTGTGACTCACACTTTATTTGTGGTGACAGTCCACTTAGTATTTTGTGTTAACCCTTTAAGTGCTCTAATCCACTGTATCTTATTTAAATTGAATGCTTTTTTTCCCCCAGCTACTCAGCATTTAAAGGGTTAAGGCATTATGAACTCTTAACGGCAAAAAATAATAATAATAATTATAATAATAATACAGTGGTTACCAGAAGGGAATTTCACTACTTGTGCATTGACAGGAATACTTGAATGTTGGTTTTACAAAGTGATGTAAAATGACAAGTTGTACTATTTGTCCATAAGGAGGTGGCAGCTCTTATCTTTCTAGACTATCATAGCTGAGCTGCTACTTTTCAACTTTGCTTTTGATAGTTTTGTGTAAATATATACATATATGGGTAAAAAGCTGCTTTCAGCAGCTCTAGGCTTACTTTTGCAGCATTTTTGTGGAATTGTTTGCAACGTGGTAAAAGTGCAATAAAGATATGGCAAGATGTGTAACCATCACGTCTAAATGGATTCATTTTTCACTGGAAATCTTGTTCAGAGCAAAGCTGTGCACACCAGCCAAGTATTCCAGAAGTAGTTGTTTAAATTGTCGTCCCCTTTTGTAGCAACAGCAAATTCAGCTAAAGTAGAAAATTGGTGATTAATATACATTACAACTCTGATGAAGACCATGCTGTTGAAAATGTCTAAACGTTCATATGCTTTGACTATCATTTCAGCATCCCTTCCTCTTGCAATTATAGCTGTAGAAACAAGCTGTAGAACAACACCTCTAAAACATTATGGCTTAACACACTGCCCAGAGGACTTAGATACATCAGCACCTCTGACTTGGCAAGCAAAACCCAGAACCAGAAACCAGAACCCTTGCACAACCCAGAAAATCTCAGCTTAAATTATCTAGAAACATGGTATTCTTAACCAAATCATTATGAGTCATGTTCAGCTGAGTTCATATGTGTGAAGACTTTCAGACCAAAAGCAAGCTATAAATTGAACAAGTGGCTGTATTTGACTTGTGAAAACATGGTGTGGCACTGAAGGAATCCCTTGTTGACCTTTTGGGCGAGGAGAGAACTTATGACAATATCATTGCAACTATAATTCAAAGCTGTCATTTGTTTCATTTTATGTCTTTCTTCTCAGGGATTTATAAACATATACAGCAAGATAGACTAAAATGTAGGCATTTCAGCATATTAAAATTATGAATGAGAGAAAGAGCTGTTGTATAGTCTCATTCACTTCTTAGGTTGATATATTACCACTAAAAAAATATATCTCTGACTATTTTACTGCCTGTTTCAAATTCCCATGACTCTCACATACATGGCATATGCAGACAACAGAACATCTCAGATTATACAACTGCCCATGATCTTGGAAAATTTCTGCGTTACCCCATGGCTTCTTTTCACTTTCCAAGACCAACCTGTGGTAGCAAGGATGTCCTCTGTAAGGCAGCACTTGCACTGTAGTTCTCTCCTCATTAGCCAAAAAATCCAAACCACAGGACTCAAAAAAGGTGAAATAGGTGACATTATCCTTGCTTTATCCTCAATGCCTGGCTGTGGTTTTCCTGCAGGTGTAGCTTTTTCTCACTAAGAGATTGTGCTGGGACAGAAGACAGGGGCTATGAAATCACTACAGCTCTGCTTTCTGCTTCTGGGGTCAGGTCAGGTCAGTCAGGGGCTCTGGGTGTGCAAACCTGGTTTGTTTTTTTTTTTTTTTTTCAAAACAGTACTTGGCAGCCTCTTAGCTCAGAGAAGAACAGATACAGTGAAGGTCTTTGTTCTTTAGAAGCTCGGTTGTAGGTCAGGATCTCCTAACAGGGTGGTTCAAGATGAAGGTCTCTGCAGAAGGGGGCCTGGTACTGTTGTCAGTGATATAAACTTACTGCTATGAACCTGATTCTGAATTTCTATAAGCACAATAAGTAGTATTTAAATGGAGTAATTTTAAAAAGGTCACTCATCCTTGTCATATTGTAACCAGCTCTCTAGGGTCTCCAGTTTCTTTCCTGAACTGTGTTACAGCTTTCTAGACCTATTATTCTTGATTCCAGTCCTAATTAGTCATACAGAAAAGCTGAAAGGGAGGCTTTGCTTTGGCATGAGACATGCAAGCATCTTGGAAGAAGGGAGATATTGGCTAAGATGCTGGAAGAGGTTTCCTCTGTGCCTCTGATGAGAAATCGGGGTGAATTACCCACATCTGAGCAGTGCAGGGTTGGGGCAGTGAGTGGCAAGAGCTGAGTCCAGGCCCTTCCTGCGGCTGGGGGAGCTGAGGACACGGGGCTGATCTGGAGGATATTGCCACAAGCGGAAGGGCTCATTAATTAAACAAGCTGTGGGGTTGCTTCTCGGTATCTGTCAGGAATCTCGTGTGTTTGCATCCATGCTGCCAGGTAGCTAGAGCTTTGACTCACGAATTTTCTAGGTATTTGGGAAGGGGAAGGAATTATTGCCTTGTTTCACTGTTTCTTTTCTACATGGACAGGAGTGAGTGGGCATGAGATGGGAAACTGGAGTCAGGGACTGAACTTGCGGCTCTGCCTTTCAGCTTTTGGGGCTAACGCAGCCTTGAGAACAGCTCTGTACAGCCCAGAGAGGGGAAACCTCTGCTTTTGGGGTGCATCTGTCTTGCCCCAAGACAGAGCTAGCAGGTGGCCTGAATTTCTTTTGAAAACTTCGTGGGTTTCTGAGAGTCTTTGGGGAAAGAGCATTGCTCTTCCCGGGTGAAATGCATCCTTTTACAGTCAGTGAGGGCTTTCTGAGCTATCTCAGCAGTGGGTTCCGTCTGAGGGTGCCTTTGCACAGGGACAGCTTGTTCCTGGTGGTTCTTGCAGGGAGGGCACATGGGGTTTGGCATGCAGAGGCCATGCATTTCAGCACACGTGCATGACAGCAGATTACCACAGTGCAAGACGATGACTCTGAAAGGGCTGTCACTGCGTATTAGGTCAGTAATCCATGAACTGAGGAGGATTAGCATGATGCAGTGTAACATCTCTTTAGGAGTCCTACATATCTATCAGACAAAAAGATTCACTCTAAGAAGATAAATAAATGTCAGAATCCAATTGGTTTGTCTCCAAATCTCAAAAATGGGTGTAGCAACAGCACCTAGACAATGGCATACCAGGAAATCTGCAGTAGTCTATCATGGGCATAATGTGGTGAGCACAATAAATATAGTATGCACAGTAAATAACAGATAAAAATAGATAATATACTTCTGAAAACACCTAATTACAACTGTATCTGACAACCTAGAACAGCTTACTGTTTTTTTCCTGAGTAATTCAGATGAGAGACTTATTTTGTTTTGCTGTTTTTCTATTATGTAAGCATCAAAGGAAATTCACACAAATTAAAGAAAAAAAACCTCTTATTGTTTGAGTTGGATACCACTGTTGTGATCAGCAGTACCGGGCAAAGCCCACGATGTATATACAAGCTGGAAGCCTGAAGCAGATTGCAATGTAAGCAACAGCAGGGAGCATTGTGTAGGAGGAGGGAACCTGGGATTTCAGCCTGACTGTTGCCTTTGGGTGCTGAACTGAAAATGAACTTGTCTTACGTGGGCATTAAAGGAAGGAGTGTCTGAAGGGTATTCTGGCTCCTGCTAGTAGGTCTGTACATGGTACCTATAGGTCCAAGGGGGATGTCCTGCTCTCTTCCATTGCAGCAATGGCATCATCCCCTTAACACATCCAAACTCCACCTGAAGACTGTCCCTGCATCAAGGCTTTTCTGACCCCAGCCTAAAAGTGCTGAGTTTCTAGCTTGGAGCTTGACATATACTAGAGCCTTGATAATTTGCATCCTGATGGAGCAAACTTTCTTCCAGTACTGAATGTTAGGCCACAAAATTCATTTTCCAGAAATTATTCCAGGTGTTTTCTTCTATGGACTTCCTTGCCAGGGGTTGTTTACTAAAATATTCGGGGCTCATTATGCAGAAATGAACATGCACAAGGAAGATTCTTTTTAAACTGTAAATTGAGTGTTTGAGGGAAATGTTAAGTTGCCTGGGACAAGTTTTCACATGGAATTTCAAGTTATTACCAGTTAGAAGCTGCTGGATTTTTTGAGATTATTTTTTTTATGCTGAAAGTGATTCATAGGTAGCCTCCAGACATAACTCAGTCTGTGACCAGATCAAACTGAATTATCTGCTTGCTTCTACATTTGCATCAGTAAAGTACCAATCCAATGATTTTGGGGGACATCTAGAAAAAAATTAAAATTAATTCAGCTTGGTGGGTCAAAAGACCTGAGAACTGAGGTCAGATCAACTCTGGTCATGGGTAAAAATGAAGAATAAGCAAAAAGGAGGCTGTTGATTTGGCAGAACCAGTACCTTTTCCTCTAATGAGAGCAATTTTCCTCTAATGTCAGAGAAAAAGTTTGTGTCTAGAGATTGTCTTCAAGAGCTGCTAGAATACATGCTATCTGCTGCTCCATTTTTTTTAGAGATATAAAACACTTTCCAAGGTTTTCCATTTATGCATCTTTGATGTAGTTAACATGAAGTAATGGGATTTCTGAGCAGAATGGGGGGAATGCCCACATTAGTATTCAATCCATTATATGAAGACTTACGTGCCAGGAGATCAGTTCCTCTCTTTCAAATGACCTCCATACACAATCAGCCCCTGTCCCTGTCAGAAGTAGCAAGTGTTATGCCTTAAATCTT